GTATCATTACTTTGTGATGTAGTTTCTCAGAGAGAGCAGTCTTATGATTCAAGCTAATTTAAAGCCTAACATTGAAAGGGAAGTCTCACCCTTACCCAACACATGGTGCTGCTAAGTCTCTGTATCAACACCAGCGTTTATGCAGCCACACAGTGAGAGTCTGACCAAAGTGACCCAGCTGAAAGCTAACCATTGCAAACAACAAAAAAGCCCAGAACAAAAAAACCCCCTTGTTTTCAGAGGGATCAATGAATTAACCCAGCTCCTCACACATGCCAGTACTGACAGACACTGAGGACACGAATACATGGGTAAGAGAAGAGAAGGCAGCAGGGACTGCATGTTTCAGTATGATCAGTCTTGCATCAGCTTGAGCAGAATATGAAGGATGAGTAGAAAAAAAGTGACAGAAGCTTGAAGTGTCAAAAGTGAAAACTCACCAAAGAGAAAAGCAATTCTTTACCTGTTCCACTATGGGGTATTTGGATAGTTTCCCCTCTCTTCCTTTTTGAAAAAAGTAGTGAACCCTGTTCACACAGTTACCAAACTACAGCTTAATATTAAGTTGCTTTCCTCTAGCTATGTTTCCCATAATGACGAAAAGAATTAAGCATATTATCTGAAACACATGAAAACTAGATTGGATGAAATTTTTAAAAAGATAATGAAATCGAAAACCATCAACAAGTATTACAACAAATGTAACATTAACGTGTGTTTTGGATGTTACTTCCAAACCGGTGTAACTATCAGCTGCTACCTAAAGGGGTGGTCCTGCTCTCTTCATCCAAATCCTGGCTGCGTGCTCCCGCAACATGTTTTGTGCCACAATTGGCAACTGTGTGGGTACAGGATGAGTTGGTTCAAGTGAACCGACATGACGGAAAACTAATCTTCCAATAAAAAACAGAGAAACTTCACAAATAAATCGTTTTCTGCTGGATCAAGTCAATGAACTAATTCATTCTCAACTGAGGAATCACTTGGGTCCATTGTAACCAGAAAGGAAAGGAGTATGTAGCTGGAACTGGAGAGGATGCGGACTGACCTTTTCAGTAGTAGCCCACCATTACACCAGTTTAACTGGGATATTTTTTTTTTATATATATATATATACACGCACACATATATATATACACACACACAGTTCCATGCCAAGATTAGCACTTACACAGTGTGAATTGTGCAATTGTATTTCACAGCGTTTCCTTTTTCCCCTACCTAATCTGATACCACTTAACAATAAAATAGTCTTTAAAGCATTTAAGATAACTAAATTCCACATGAAGTCTTCTACTAATCTTTACAAATTGCTGCTATCTGAAAAAAGTTTTCATTCTACCTTCCAATAGACACACTATTCCAGCAGCATATACTCTGTTAAAAGTCTCCTGTTAATTACAGCTAAGTGTACCTTGTTTTCATGAAAGAATCAGAAGCCTCTTCCCAGAATAATCAAAATCCAAGCAAATCACGTTTTTATGCTCTTATGAGTTTTAAGAAGGAGAATTCTCTAATGTACCTGAAGTATGTTACAATGACACAATTTATAAAATCAGACAGGTATGAAGAAGATGAAATAGTTTGCTCTTATTTCTCTGCTGGGGATTTAAAAAGCACTGCGCATATATTTAGCACTTTTCTTCTCCTTGTGTACCTATGCGGTTTTTTTTGTTTGGTTGGTTTTTTTAAGAGTAATATTCTGTTCGGAAAAGAATCTTTATTTTTGTATAGTATTCTCTGTAACTTAACAAGACCCAGTGGAAACCCTGACACCTTTTTAATCAAGACAGGATCTCCTACTCCCCGCTTTCTTTTCTGATTTCACATGAATGGTAATTTCAAATTTCCACTTTAATATCATCATTAGCTTAACCTCCTTTATGCCTTCCCTACAACTGCTTCCTCTCATAGATTCTAGTATAAAGCCAATGTGATTATCAATGAATACTCCATTGTTAGCACATTTTCAAATGGTCACAAGCCTCCAATAAGCCTTCCACCCATTTCCATTTCCACTGTTTCTTCAGATAACCCATTTCCAATTTTCCATTTTAGCTCTCTACATAATAATCATCAAGAAAATGTCGTCATTGACAAAGATGACTAATCTCTCCAGAGCTCTTATATATTTCCCTGGGTTTCCTCTTTTGCCATGTTCCCAAAACTGTCTTCTTTTTCAAGATAAAACTATTCAAGATTACAAATATAGTTTGGCAACACAGAAAACAATGGTTTTATGCTTAAACTTAGCATTAATCAGCCAGGCTATTCTTCCGTATTTTCCCTGAGACTTCCAATTTGCTTATGTATTTTCAATAACTTGTTGTATTGTTTCTTTAACAGAGATTTCCCTTCTTCCAAAATGATTATTACTGCCTGCAGCCTGATTTTTAGATATGACCACAGAAACACCCGTTTCTAAATAGATTCTAGAAAATAGAAAATTACATATCAATAGATTTTGTTCTATTTTATTTCAGCTCTACTCCTTAGAAGTGCTCTCAAATCTTTTATTAGTTTATGCTTAAAGCTAATTTGACAGAGACTGCCTAATCCACCTTTTCCCTGGTCTTACAAGATGTGTCACAGAAGGCTTCAAATTGCTTCTCTTGGCAACTGATGCTAAGGTTTGTGCTTGTGAATATCTCAAAAGCAATCTAATGATGATCTTTCCTAAGATGTAGGGCATAAGAATTTCATCTCATATCTGGCTACATCCCTTGAAACTCTTGGTTTAAGCACAGTCTATTTTAGAGATACAGAGAATAGCCAAAAAGGCAGTGAAAAGGCAAAAGAATAAAGTGCTGAAGACAGGTTAAGAAAGAATTGCAGTGAGTGAAAGAAGTGTGTATCAGGCTGACATAAAACTGGTTCCAAGTAATGGGAAAGCAGGGCATTGAGACCGCCCTGTCTTGACAGAGCTCAGGAATGAAAGCTTGACCCAAACCATAAACCAGCATAAAAGCAGTTTTAAAAAAAAAAAAAAAAAAAGATTGTTAAGTCGATTAAGTCAATTGCAGTGACATTCAGCAACACTGAAAAGTGATAAAGTCTCCATTAACATATAGTCAACTACTTTTATAAAACACAGATAGGCCCTCAAAACAAAGGGTGTGAGCTGATTAAAAGTTTAAAAGAACTTGCACGCAACATTATGAAATTATTCAAACCCAAACAACATACAGAGGAAAACAAAACATATGCCTCATTTTTAGCCCGTGACAGAATACACTGGAGTCTATCAACGGAAAGGTCTTCTGGGTGGTCTTTTGCAGTCTAGTTTAGAGTTCAAGCATACTCACTGCTAAATTGCATAGAGAAAAGTACACACACAAAGTGCAGATCCTTAGCCTTTACTTCTGAAGTGCCAAAAACTTGAAATTACCTCTCAGTGGCAATCAAACACTCCCCCAGTTTGGCAAAGTACTGAACTGGAGTGTATGACAAATTCGGTACTAACGTGCTGTAGAAATTCTGGATCAACAAAACAGTCTGGAGTGGACCCTTTAAGTTAGAGTGGTAAGAATTAAAAAGATACTCAAAACATTTGCCGAGGGTCTGTTCACATCTTGTTAGTTCTTCAAATCGGGGAAGATGGCTCAGCGGTAACTTTATCTTACTCTCTCCTGCAACATACTACACTGACCGTTCCAGCCAGTTCTATGCACACATATTGCATCTGTAAGTAAAGCAAACTCCCAAGACTTTGTTATTGACTAGGTTACGATCCCAGTAAGAGATTTTTTTTTTAAAAAAAAAAACATAAAAGCGTTTAAACTCCCTTTATTAAACAACAAGGAGTTTCCATAGATCAAGATCAAATTTTGAAATAGTCAAGCTAAAGTCCATAACATTATACTTTTCATTTGCCTTCTGCTTACTAGAAAGAATCATGTGAAAGAAACTGA